GAACTCGGCTGCCCAATCGTGAATGCTGAGCAACGAAATCCCAATATTAAAGCTGGTCCAAGGGTCCGAGATGCTTCTTAGGGAGTGAGGCATGTGTGTCATGTAGCTGCTTGGCCTTGCTGGCCTGTCTCAGCCAATCTTGAGCATCCCTGAACACAGGACCGTTGGACCCCATTTCAGCACGATGTCGGATGCTACTGTAGCGTATTGTTCTCAGAGGCTTCACAAAATCTTGGCAGTGGCTTCCAAGCAGGTCTGCAAACTGCAAACGTATCCGCGACATCAAGGCCTCAGATCGCTCCTGAACTAGACTCTAGTGGTTACACAACAGTTAGGTCAGGCCCTTTCAAGAAAGGTTTTGTCTCCGAAAGGGCTCGAAGATACTTGTGATTTTGCTTGCTGCCCAAAGCCGCCGAAATCGTAAACCCGGAAGCAGCTCTCAAATTCTACGTGCTACACCTGAAATCCCAAAACCTAATCCCTTCAAGCCCGTTTTTTGGTTTGAACTCGCACGAGGCCTGACCCTGCATACTCAGGCAGTAAACGTAGGGTCCCCAAAACCTTTGAACCATCCTGGGCACCACCAAAATCCTACAGAACCTGGCATGGGCGTTGGCCTTCTTCCGTCGCCAAGGCCTGTGCCTCGGCCGGAGGAAAGGGTTTAAGAGATCTAAGGGCCCCGAAGAGTACTTCAGGCAGTGGGGGTATCTGGGGGTCCAGGGGGCCCATGCATAGGACCTTTATGTTTCGATTCCACCTTGTGATCATGTGGGTACTTTGGAAGAAACCGTTTTGGACCTGTCAGCAGGGTGGGTGACTCACTCCTGCAGAACTACAACTTAGAGTAGAACAACCCGGCTGAAGACCCCTCCACTGCTGCCACAAGAGGCAAAGAAAAAAAATGCAGCGGTGCAGAAGGACCCGCTCGAGACCTTGCGAAATTCAAAGGAAATCTCTAGCAACAACCCCCCCTTAATCTTACCGTGAGGTTTAGTCCCTCAGGCCAGCACCTGGACATTGAGCGAAGTAATCAAAGCCTGAATCCCTGCACTCTGAAATCTCCAAATTCTGCAAGCCATAACCTACGCCTCACAAGGTCGTGTGAGGTGCCAAAGGTGCAGCTCAACGAGGCCAACAGCGTACGAAGCAACACCCGAAGCATTCTGCTGGGCTCCCTCGAAGATTTTGACAGAGAAATGCCAGCTTGTGGTTTGGGACTGGGGACCTAGGGTTGTTGCTTGTAAGGTCTTGGTTGTGAAAGAGTTCTTGAACGTTCTGGGCTTTTTGCATTACGGTTGTACTGTTCAAGGCAAGGCAGTTTCCCCAGTCAACGGGGAGGGGTCAACAGCAGCTTAGTGGGGTGCACTATCAAAATCAGAAGGAAGGGGGCTTTAGAGCTTGGACCTGCAACTTGAGCCCTTGGGAGGACAAAAGTGTTTGACGTTGGTGGCTGGTGTTGAGGCTTGCTTCGTGATTTGTGTTGTTGAGGGTGTCGGTTCAATCTCAGGGTTTTGACAATATCCTTTAGCTTTTCTTTTTTTCGCCGCAGTAGCAGTAGCATGCGCCCGGGATTTCCATCCCAGCATCTCAGGAGTCCCAGCCTTGCCGGTACTTCGCTTCAAAGTATACGATGCTGCGTTGACTGGAAAAAACAATTCACCCAGAACTGGCGGGATGGGATTAGCACCCCTGAGCCACATGTGATTTAGATTTTTTGAATGTCTTGAGTCCGGCCAGTGTCCGTGAATTTGCAGGCAGCTTGGGAGCTTCTGAAAAGGGCTGAATCTTCCTTTGACATGGGGATAAGGGATCTTGTCAGGAGTTTCCCCTCAGAATTACCTAATCCCCTATCGCCTAAACTCCAAGGCTCCAAATCCTGAAAACTCCATAAACCTACTCTCTGCAGCCGTCAGCGACACAAGCAATCGCGACCCCTCGAGCCCCCGTCACAAGACGAGCTTTGCAATCATGGACTTCGGTGCCTCGGCTAGTCATTCGGAAGTTTCAGAAACAAAGCCCATTGGATAATGCATGGGAAAGAACCCCCAGTTACAGGGACCCCTGATTTTGAATCAACAATTCGGGCATACTATGATGAACGTCTATGAGAGTTCAGGAAGCCATCAGAAGATCTGCAAGAAGAGTTGCTAAGATTATCCTTGTATGATTTCCAGGATGGTGTGGGTCTTGCACTGTGACGCGGGTTGAATTCAAGGAAGATCTTTGAGTAGAATTCATGATGCGTAATTGGCCAATGGGGACAGGGCATATGAGCCAGTCTGGGATTTTGGACCACAAGTGCAAGGCCTGGAGGATTCCTGAACCCTGAGCTGGATGAGAGAAGCAACTATGTTTCAATTTGGGAGCTGCTCAACCTTCCCCAAAGACTTGACCAAATCTTTTTGGACCCGTTGTCCCGCATATTGTGGAGGGCGTAGCAGGTGCAACATGAGGGGAAGGGCCGCCTAGTGTGCCAGCCTGCTTACTACATGGAAGCTCGTTCAGAATTATTTTCATCAGCAGCAGGCCGGAGGCACAAAGGCATCCACGTACTCCGGCATTGACGTTGTGTCTGCACCTTTGCCTACAGCGACGCGCTGGGCCCATCAGGATGTAGGCATCCTTTCTGGCGCAGAGGCCGTTGCTTCCCAAACTCTGCAGGAAGCTAGGGGGCACAAAGCTTAGATGGCTAAGTTCTAAACACCTTGGATCACTAGATCTTCTAAAGCGCATGGAATGATAGACACTGGACGGCCGTCTAGCGAGCTTCTACATTCAGATAATGTCCCTGACCTTTTCGAGCCCCACCTAAACAGTTTCGGTGAATCTCGGCCCCAAGCCCTGAAATCAGAAGCCCCTAAGCCCTGGACACCCCAAGCCCCGAACATCATCGGGCTTCAGCCTAAAGCCCCAGCTCCTCGTTTGTCGAACTCGATGTCTTCATTGTTGCCCAGGACGAACCGCTGCTGGATACGTGGCTCCTCCTCCGGGACTGGAGCAGGTGAAGCTCCCAGAAGTTAGGCGTTTGGGGGTTGAGGCTTTGGAGAGTTGGGTGTCTCAGTTGGGTTCAGGCCTGTAGGGCATGGACTTTAGAGGGTTGAGGTTTTGAGGGGGCTTGACAGGTTTTAAGGTTTGGTGTGTGTGCGCACCAAAACGAGGGGATTTGGGGACAGTCACAGGTTGTAGAGGAATTGTACAGGGAGTACATGCGCAGCGACGGGATCCGGGGAGTGCCGGGTTCCTAGTTTGAGCATCCTTGGCTTCACATCCGGCATATGAGTTTCTTCGAGGATCCCAAAGTGTTTGGCAAAGGTTGTTGGGTTGTGGAGATTGTCCGAGCTCATCGACGTAAAGCCGAGTCAGAGGGTCCAAGAACCTTCAGCCTTCAACCCATAAACCCATAAACCTCAAATCCTCACCCCCAAGCCCCCGAGCCCCAAACTCAAAAAGTCTCGGGGCCCAAGCCGCGGTTTCACCCATGTGATGCCACTCCATTCCTTAGAGGAATATGTGAGTTCTCGAAGGTTTGGGAGTACAGAGAGGTGTCGGATGGACACAGAATTAGCTCCCATGTTGTTTAGCCTAAAGCTTGGACACACTGGTCTTGGCGTTTGGAGTTTCTAGGTACGTCGAACTACTTGACTGGAGCACGCGCAAAGAACCAGTCGAATAGCTGAAAGCGTAGTCGCTGCCCCACTGTCGCCTGGCTCAAGGGGTTGAGGTGTTTTTGGTCCCACATAGAACCTAACAGAGCTCCAAAATAGGCAAAAGGCCCAGAGAAAAGCTTCTGGCCCGGCGGCATACCTGAAATCATCTCCAAGCCTGGATTTTTGGAGGTGAAAGGGATCAGGGTGGGCTTTGTTTGTGTGGCCTTTGCATTAGCTGCAGATCCATCCTAGTAACTTGCTGGGGTGCAGGTGTCGGCCCCATCCATGCGCCGCGTGGAGGAGAACCAGGACAAATTTGTGTGAGTACCCCCCCTAGCTAGGCCTTGTCTGTATGGCTGTTGGGGATCTGAGCTTAGAGAAAGGCATGTAGTCTCCGGGGTATGTGTCAGGGTATGGCTTCTTGTACAAATAGTAGGGTCCAAATGTTGAGAAAGTCTACCTAAGCTTCCTTTTGAAGGGCAGCTGCCTGGATCCGCACCTCAAAGTATTTTCGGGTTTGGGCTGTACAGGCCACAGTCTTTTTGGGGAACTACAGGCGCTGCTGCCCAAAACCCTGCTACTAGTTACTGGCTAATCCGCAAGAAATTTGGGAATTCTTTGGTTTCCAGGCAAGGTTACCCATTTCGACATCAAAAAAGAATCGTCAGCCCCAAGTGAGGACACTCAGCTCATGGCGAAGGCTTGCGACTGCCATGATGTTAGCCTTGGGAAGAATCAGAGAGGTTGGTTTTGGGGTTTATGGGTTGAGGGTGTGGGGTTCTGGGTTTCGGGTTCAAGACAAGAAGCCAGATCTCCCCCGGCTTTCGTGTCCAAGACTATATGGACCTTAAGAAGCTCTGTGCTCCTTGCTAGTTTCTAGCATTTTTGATTGCGCATTCTAGAGTGGAAAGCTTGCAGTGTTTGCATGGCGCCCATGGTGCACTGCATGGCCTGCTCTTTTCCAGGGGAAGGGTTTTGCACTTTAGGCATCAGTGCGGGGGAGACCCCGGCAGATCCTTACAGCAGAAGCCGGAATCTGGTACATCCCCCCTCAAGCCTCAAACATTGAACTCAAGCAAAATTGCAGAAGGTGTCCTTTTGGGTCTGAAGCGCCTAATTACAGCCTAAACCAAGACCAACTTGGCCGGGATGGGTTGGACACAAGATGACCCATACCCTCAAGTCAGCCGAACCCCCTTCAAGCCCAAATCCATTCCTCCGAGATCTTCAAAGAACCATTTGAAATTTCAATGCCAAGCCCTCCATCTGAAACTCCAAGCACTAAAGCCCAAACCCTGAACCCTGGATGGCAAACCATAGACAACAACCCCTAACCCCAAAGCCTTGTGGAAGGCACTTACGGACCTTTATGGCCGCCTGCCCAGTGCGGACGTGGAGCCCAAGCTGCATGGTCCATGGTGCTTACTGTCACTATCGGTTATCAGTGAAACTTATCATTTGGGGGGTATCTGAGTTCAGGGTTCAGGGTTTAGGGATGCGAGCTGGGAGCTTGGGGTTGAAGGTTCCAAGAAGAAGAAGAAGAAGGAGAACAAGAAGAAACAAGTTGAAGCAAGAGTGGTGGAACTTCTCCTCCTCGGGTGCTTGCTAGGGAAGGCATCTCTGAGGCCGGAGGAAAGTAATCCTCGGCACAGCTTGCTCTAAAAGAAAACGTTAACCCTAAGCCTTGAGGTTTCACCCCTAGGCAGAAACCTGTGGCCATACACTTACCTCAGCCTGCTATGTATCCATGAAGACCCTGCAAACTGTAGAGACCCGGCCTATAAACCCGCGACGCTTGAAACTGACATGCCTGGTTCAGCTACCAGTATAATCGTACTTGCGCGAGGAATTTGAGTATTTATATGACTGACAGCAGCCGGTTCATCTACCATACAATGCATCTACTGCAGAAAGGAGTGCATATTTAGCCGTCAAGCCTGGACCCAGGGGTACCAAGACGTCAACTCCCAACCCTCAAACCTTTATCTCCTCAAATCCCTACACCCTGAAACTTGCACAACAGAATCACAATAGAAGATCTTAGCGGGCCCATCAAGGCGCGCATGACGGAGATCTTGACAGGATTGGCCCATGGTGGAAGCAGCCTGGTTAAGGTTTTGGGGCTCTATAAGCTGGCTTATTCGAGGTTTGGAATCCAGGGTACACGACCGTGCTTTTCAGATGCAATGAAGCGGTTTGGGGTTTAGGGCCTAGGGGTCAAGAGTTATCCCTAGCTCTGCGAGCTAGGCTCCTATGCGCATGAACCAGTCCCAAGCCCTCAAAGGCAGTCCTCAATCCTGAAGCCTTCCTAAAAGCCTTCAAGACCTGAAGCTACAACAGCTCAAGCCCTCAAGCCCGGTTATGCAAGCAGCCTGTTGTAAAGGTGCTACTTTCTGTCGCGCGCCCACAAGTAGCAGGAGTGTGCAGCCTCTAGACTGTAGATGCTTTGTCCCCGCTTCTGTCAGCACTTGCGGGAAGCCGCCTTGGAAAACCGTTGAGTGGAAGGATAACGAAGATGCTACACTCCAGAGGGTCACGGACTGCTTGGCCACCTGATCCTGCCAGTGAGAATCTCAAACGACAAAACCTGAAAGTAGCTAATCCCAGCGATGAGCGATGAAAAGACGTCGTTCCAAGTGCCACCTCAAGTCTTAAAAGCCTAAGCTTAGAACTAGAGGAAGCGATGCCTTTATGGCCTTCTACTGCTTAAGACTCTGAAGCCCCAAACCCTAAACCCCAAATCCCCCAGCGCTGCCCTCAATGCTAAACCCTGTCTGTTCCTTAAGCCTCAAGGCAAGCTCAGCGCTTCCGACCACACAATGCTCGCGCAAGCCATCCGCCAAAGTCTCAGAGTGGGCCATGGCCGGATTGTTCTTGCCTATGGGGATTCATGACAAGTAGTTCCCCCGCCTCCCGCAGCAGTTTTTAAGTTTTTGTTTGTTATCATGGGAAGTGATTACACAGAGGATGAGCTGATAATTTCAGCTTTGAGTTCAACAGTTGAGCAGTTTGGCTGGGCTGTGAAGTTGTTCCGGATTAGGGCTAGATGTTCTTGCAGACTTAATGTCCAGAGATCAGGCTTTGACGTTCCATTTTGTCAACGGCTGCGAAACCAGACGGCTCGGCCTGAAAACTGACTCCCTGAACCTTAGCCTGACCCCTCAGCGTGTATAGCGCAAGGGCTATGGCTTGCATTGCCTGAAGGCGAGGAGTCCAAGCCAGAAATCGCCAGCTGCAAAACCTTGCACCTAATGCACGGAATCTCTTGAAAAACTCTAAGTATAACCATTTTGGGCAGGACATCTTCATTCTGGTGGCTTGGTTCCAAGGGTGTTTCTCAGGAATATGCTTAGACAGTTTCTGATCTTCCTGTGTCTCCCTTCGATCTCTCCTCGGCCTCTTGTCCTTACTACTCGCTCCCCTAATGCCTCATCGCCCAGCATTCCCCTAAATACTCATGGCCTGCCACAGGGGCACGCATTTAAACAAATGAAGAAAAACACATATCTGTATGTTTACTTGTGTATGTACCAATATTAAGTGCTGGGGCTAGGGGCTCTGCAAAATTCAGGAACTCTAACGCCCGAAGTGATTTGAAATGGTTGTTGAAGACACCTCTGCCAGAGCTGGGACTAGAACAACCATGACATCTTGGTCTTATACCCCAAGCAGGTATGTACCCTGCAACCGACAATGCGGCGCCTTATACGCCAAACTTCGACCTTTAACCCTGGACCCAAACGCCAACCCCGAAACCCTAAATCTTAAGCGAAAAGCCATCAACACACCAGCCCTAAACTTTACAGGATGTATAACAACCAAACTCAATCCTACAGGCCAACTGGAGGTTGAGGTTGCCACCAGCGTGAGGGGCTCAGCTGTCCGTGCTAACTGTAACTTGGGGTCCAATGGTGCCAGTGGAGTTACGGGTGACATAGCAGGATATGCAGCATACTATGCTTGTATGTAGAAGGGTTCTGGAATTCAGGGATCAGGATTAGGGCTTGAAGGATTCTAAGGGCTTGGAGTATTGAAGGGTTGTGGTTTGGAGCTTAGGATTCAAGAGGCCAAACATAGAACGCCTGAAAACGTTGGTAAGGTTTTTTTGGGTTCTAAAAGATGATACTCGATCCCCAAGCCCGTGCTCTCATTGCCTAAGCCAAGATCCAACCAGTTATAGCGTGCCTCCTCATGATATGCATCCTAGGAAACTTTTCTGGAGCCCCTTTGTTCCACATCCCATACCTTAACCCTTAAACCTCCTAACCCCTATAGCCCCTTATGACGCTTAAAGGCATCGCCTGGTTAAAGAAGCAGCTCACCAGGTACAGAAGCTGTCGAGTTCGGCGTTTCAGCCTCGTGCTGAAAACCTCCACTCCCTGAGCACCACACCAAGCGGCTCGCCCCAGGCAGAACACCTTTGGGGAACACCTTTGAGATTTATTGGGGGTCAGGCTGTGGGGATATTGTTTTTTCCCTGGTCGTGGCTATAGGAATCCTTGCTATGGCGGCGGGTTACAAGGAATCCTTACAGCTGCGCCTGGGAAAATCCTTTGCAGCCACGCCTAGGGAAAAAATCGCTTCCGCGTTGATACGGGGCGTGGGGTTTGGGGATTGGGGACTAGGGCTTTGCGTTTAGGAAGGCTGTTGTGAGCTTGTACCATCAGGGGGAGTTGGTTACAGAAGCTGCTGCAAGACTACCTCCATCTCCAGTGAGCCTGCGGAATAGATGCAGGATAAGCACAAGCCATTATCAACCCATGGTTCTAAGGCAGGGTACACGACTACAGGTAGATATCCCTGACAGATTCGGCAGCTGAACAAAAGCCGGCCATGGAAGGGTTTAAAAAGTGTCGGGGTTCAGCGTTCGGAGGGTGAGGGCTTCGCCTGTAGCTTTCGCATTTCAGGTTGAGCGTTTTCGTGCAACGCGTGGTACTTGTTCCTTGAGCGGTGGGTCGTTGTGATCAGGACACCAGTATTTTGGCCAAAGGACGTCAGGCAAAGGTAGAGGGTATGAAGGGGTTCTGGGTTCTGGTTCCCCCTTCAGCAACTAGGCAAGTAGGCCCTAAACCTTCAACCCCACATCGTTGCAAGCCCTTGCGTTTGCCCCTACCTGAAGAGCCAGCTTACTGAAAGTCATGGGTTACTTGAAGCCCAAGTGTGGGGAGCAGCGACCTTGAACGGTTCGGGTGCTGCATCGTGCCTAGAATGCCCCAAAGCCAGTGAGCCCGTGTAGAAAGCCTCTACAGCCGATCATTTGTCAGGGAAACAGCCCTTGCGACTCTTCAGAGGAGGAAGGCGGGCAAGGCAGGGGGGCTCAAAACAGTGCTGCTTAGGGCTTAGGGATATATCACATAGCAGGGTAAATGGAGGAGTGCTGAATATGGTGCCCGTTCGACATGTGGAGGTTGGATGTGACGTTTAGGGTTCAGGGTTCAGTTGCAAGTCAGGAGTTTAAGTTCTGTCTTCTCTTGAGGGATCTCGCGTGTGTGGACGCATGCGCGGATTTGTACCTGCTTAAGAAGGATGTTGCTTAGCTACTTCTTCATGAACGGGTAGAAGTGCCGAGTGGCCCCTTCAGAAGATTACAGGAGGTCTTGAACGACGAAGCCCCGCACCCCGAACCTCCAAACCTGACCGTTCGCCCGCAATGATAAGTAGCCAAAATCTTTCAAATAAACATCACAAGGCACAAGAAAGCTCGAAATCTTCAGCCGAAAGCCGTGTAGTAAGCCCCTAAATCCAGAGCTCCTGTATGAGTAGCTGCAAACTTAGATACTGATTTCGGATGTGGTAAGGTGCCTAAAGCTGTATCAAGGGTGCCCCACTGGGTTAAGTGTTTTGGACAGCTATCTGTAACTGCATTGTTACACTCCCTATACGTAACCCTGCTTACCTCTACATCTCCCCCTGTTGCCCCTTCTTACCCCGCCCTGCAAGTACCAAAACGTGGAAATTTCAGAAACCCTAAACCCTAAATGGCAGTTTTCATTTTCTTTTCCACTATCCCCAATATAACCGTGGTTATTCAATATCAATAAACTATACCTCAATATACTATATAGTCGTTTCCATTTTCCTTTGCATTATCCCCAATATAACCCTGGTTGTATGGCAGAGGCAGCCCTCAGAGCCTTAGCCCTTCAAGAGAGGCGTCGCCTTGCCTTTGCCGCGCCGAATCCCGGTCTGGGGCCCAAGGGATGCTTAGAAGTGGAGCTTTGTAGGATTCTGTAGATGTTTGGTAGGAGGTACAGGGGCGTCAGAACTTGCATGTAATCTCTCACAATTTGTAAGGTGTAAGAATGAAGAGGAGGTCCTAAAAGACGCATTCCGATTGGACAGGGAGAAAATGCAAAAATCAATCCTAGAAACGCCCGTGAGTGAAGAACAAACAGGACCCACGCGCCCCCTTTCAATGGCCGAGACAAATCCGGCCCTTCGCCTTGCTGCAGAAGCTCTTCCGATCTTAGGGACGGCGTCCAAAGCAACAACGACATTTTGCCACGGGACTGTCTGGAAACTTGACCGTTCTGAAGGTCTGTTGGTTGGAGACTTCAGGAGGCCAGTGAAGCTGCGGATTTCTTATGAGCTGGGGAGTGCTCACTTGGTTCTTCCTCGCTGGGACTTCCGTATCGCTTGCCTCCAGCAGGACCTGATTTGAACCCAGGGTGTGTTGCATCCTTCACTCGGGTCAGTGTAGGATTGCTTGTCTATGCCTCTCTGAAACCCAGCCTCCAGAGATACCGGTTGACAACATTTCGAGGTTGAGGTGTTGCAAGTCTTGGACCATCCTACTTGGATGGAAAATCACCATGGCGGCAGGCAGCGACAGCACCCAGTCCTAGGGCGAGAGGTGCAATCATTTAAGTCCTTCCAACATTGAGGCAGGGTCCACGTTCCGAAGATGGAACTGATGGAAATACAGGAAAGTCAATGGTCAACGGCACTGTTCTCCCATAACTATAACATGCCAAGCCACAAAATTTCTAGTGTTTCACCAGACAGGGTCATTTATGATGAATGAAGACCTCCATGCTGACGAGGTGTGTGGGGACTACGTCTTGTTTCTGTTAGCTCGGGTGTCTCTACACACCCTAAGAGGTATTGAAATCTCTACTGCAAAGCCCTCCCAAAAACCCATGAATCATCTTCAGGAGCACCCCCAAGCCCAAACCCCTAAGCTGAAGAGCTCAAATGGCACACCTTACCTCTCTTCCATATTTTCAAGATAGCACAAGTCCTTTCGGCATACAAAGTGTCAAGATGGAGGACCTTTCTTTAGAACACCCGCCTTGAGAGTGAAGCGGAGACTTTGGCTGAAGGCCCGCCAGCGCCGTCCTACGCAACCGAAGCCGCTTGGATGGATGTTGGGGGAAGTTTCCAATAGCATGATTAAAAGGAGGAAGTTCTGTTTGAAGATTCTGGGTACCCTGTTGCGGAAGTTCGTCTACGTTCATGGCTACATGAAAGTGCGTACTTCGGATTTAGATGAGGGCTGAGGGTTCGAAAAGCGCGTGGCCGATTGAAGAAACGAGAGGTACGGTAGAATGAGGGTGGGTGGGAAACTTGAGAAATATTCATGTGTAGTAAAATGCGAGGCGTGTGCATGGAGTTTGATGAAAGGGAAAACGCTATTTGCGGGTGACGATAGCTCAAAGTTACATTGCTTTCCACTCTGAAGGAGTCATTCTGGCATTGCCTGGTTCATGTACCTAGATGACGGACTGATGTGGGATAGGAGACTCGCCATGGCTCCCTTAAGAAGATTGCTGGGTGCATAGAGCCTATCTTATCCGTGTTGCATTACAAGTGTGCAGCGTAGATGTTCCAAAGTCAAGCGTCCCGACCGAAGCTTCAAACATCGGAGTGCAGCCTTGTCGAGGATAGCTCAGGATCTGCGACTACACATGCGAGGATCATTCAAGACTCTGGTGTTGCTGTACACGTGAAAGAATCAAGTCCAGCACAGATGTCCGAGGCCAAACACCTATGCCAACACTGGAGCTCGCTTCTCTCTGTGAGAGACTTCGTGCGGTTCAGGTGGGGCCCAAGGGGGTTTCTGCATGGCTAGTGTGCCGTTCAGAAGGGAGACGACCAATCCGTAGGGTCTGCAGGACAAGGCTGTACGCATCCTGGCATTCGGGTCCCTATCAAAACCAAAAAGACAGGAAACCTTCCCGTGGGGTTCGGGGACTTTAGGACTTAGGATTTGTGTGTTCGGAGGTCCATATCACACCTGCATTACCAACCATGAATGGGGTCTGCTTCCTTGTCAGGCTGAGAGGGAGTCAAATGCCAGTGCCTCAGCGCCAGTTTATGGTTTTGATGTGGGCTCCAGGGCTTAGGATCGATGATGCTTTGAGGCCTCGGGATTAAGCTTGAGGATTCGAGTTAGTTGTTTGAGTTCTGAAGGAATTGGTTGCCCGCTGGAGAGGAGCCGTTGGTGGAGAGGTAACGCCAAATATGTTGCACCATGAAAAACCAGTGTGACGTGGAGGCAGCCCGGATTCCCTAAACCCTCAGCCCACCCACTAAATTCGGGCCTGCGGTAGGACGCGGGGTCCTGCCATGTGTTTGTATTACAGCTGATAGCACCCAGGCCAAGAAGTACTGTTGAGTTACCATAGATTCAGCATCTCAGATATGGTTGCCAGGAATTCTTCGGAGGCAGACCCTCGACTTCTTGCCCCGCTTGGGCGGCATTCATGGCAAATCCCTTTCCTCAACCTTGACACTTCTCGCCAGAGAGCCACTGACTCCCTGCAAGAAACAAGGCCTGAACCCATTCAGATTGCCCTCGACCCCCAAGCCCCAGACAAAGGATTACAAACGTTAGCTAGATGCAAGAAAGGTAGTCATTAGAAATCCCTGCGCTTTAAGCCGCTTCATCTTGAAGTTGATGAAGGTATACCCGTGAAGCCTCGCCGTGGATGTAGAAGTCATCTGCCACAGCACGCCCCTGGGTTTGAATTTGGACGGTTCTGCTGGGGTTCAGGGTTCAGGATATTTAAGGCTTCCGTTTTTCAGGGTTTAGTGCCATGGCTACGGGTTTGGGATTCTGAGTTTCGGACAAGTTCAGGCAGAGGTTCCTATTCTTCGCCGGAGGTCCTTTGACAAGTGTGTAGGGCAGCCGCAACACTCGTGTAGCACAGCGAAGGGAATCAGGACTACAAGGTGTTTGAGAGCCTGATTGAAGTTGCGTGTTGCAAGGCTGGTCTGTCCTGGTTTCATCAGAAGACTAGACGATAGTCCCTCCCAGCTTGATCCAGCTGCCTCATGGACAGGGAGATAGTCAATTTTCTGATTGCTCGGGGCCCAAAGACACAACATTTCAAACATGTGATGAAGATGTGTCTTCGGTGCATCCAGATCCACACCTTCCAGGCAGGAGGCACAACTTCATGGCTTTTAGGCCGTTGCAGCCCGGTAGAGTCACATCACCCAGCACGAAACACAACAAAACCGGCATTACTCCCGGGCTTGAGACACCCCTGCAATTCATTGCTGCGTGCCTCAAAACCGTTCTAAGCACCTACAGGCCCATAAACTCTATTTGCCACCATGACCTTCTTGTGAGACTGGAGGTTCGACTTTCGCTCAAGCCTACCACAGAAATGCAGCCGACCAGCAGCACCAATGCCGTGTGAATGGGATTGCATGAGAGAGTGATATCTTACCAGGATCCAGAGAGTGTACGGACGTGTAGGGACAATTAGATTGATTTCATGAGGAGCCCAGAATTGCACATTTTCAGGGCATGTTTGCCACGTGCCGTACTCCCCGAGCCCAAGCCCGCCGCCCACGCCTTATGCACTTTCATCATTACTGGTCAACCCTCATGCCGTCAAGATTCCTTTGCTCAGACAAGCGCTACTTGAGTCAACAAGGTGCATTTTACAGTTTAGGTTACTCATAAGCCCGGTGTATGATTTTTTTTTTTTAAACAAATTCTTGCGAGCTGTAAGTCCATGATTATCTTGCTTCTGTGAACGGAGCCGCTTCTGGGTATTTCTCAACTTTGGGATTTCCTGTCAACCCAAAAAATACAGCCCTTATCATAGGGCCATTCCATGAGGGTCTTTGAATTTCCAGACATTCCCCCTTCCGATCTTGGTCCAGAAATCTGGTCTGCTGGGCGACGAGCATCCGAACATTACCAAGACTTGAGTTTGCAAACCTAAGCACTGACCCCTCTAAACCCCGAACTCCACGCGGACGATTTACTCAATCTCTTGAGTGTATCTTCTTCAGCTTTTGTGAAACCCTTAACTGCTAGAACTCTAAACCCAACCGCCTACCGGGCCTTGGTACTGCTACCAATTTCGGCGTTTTTCTTTGGAGGGCTCGTCTGCCGTCGAGCTTTCGAAAGGGAGAGGTGGTACAGTGGTACAGCCTTTGTACCATTTTCCATTATCCCAATATAATCCCAATATATACCCTATAATCCGTATAAAAACCCTATAAGTCCTGTAGTTTCCATTTTATTTTCCATTATTCTCGATTTAGGGTTTGAGGTCTGGAGGTGAAACCTTGGAGTTAGGGATCCCGAAAGGCCGCTCCCTTGGCTGAACCTCCTTGTGGGATTCCCTAGGGGGTGCAATGGCTGGGTAGGCCCCTGAATAACTATGAGTAGAGATCCCAGAACTTAAGGTTCCGAGCAGATGGGGGCTAGCGTAGAGCCCCCTCAGCCCTCAAGCGCAAACGTTTGTCCTTCAATCCCCCTCAACCCAAATAACCATCCTTAACCATGCGTAGACTTACCACCTCTCCAGTGGCTGCCTTGTAGCCTGCGGCATCTTGAGGCCACGGTACAGCTGGCGAGCGAGCGCAGTTAGGGTACGGATAGACATGGGTGCCAAAAGGCTTACAGTTTAAAACTGGGACTCTTCTATTGTTACAACGGGCTGCATATTGGGATCCTATAGGATTTTTGTACACGGGCTGTAGCACTTGAAATTACGTGAATTTTGGGGCTCTGAGAGGTAGGGTCAATATTATGGCTGGCCGGTGTTGGCGAGGTTTTGGGAGGCTTTCAAGATAATGGAACTTTTGCGGGGATGTGAGATTTCGCAAAAAAATACCAACAAGGAGAATGTAAAGTATTGATTTCACTTGCCTGGTATGGTTGTTATTCTTCATACTTATTCCGGGAGCGGAACCAGGGTTCGAGCATTTATAGGAAACGTCCCAACCAAACATCCTACCTCATATGATCTGTTTTGAAAACTGTGTTTCAAAGGGGCTGTTACTCCGCAATAGTCCTTTTCAGCTCTTCACGTGAGCTGCTCGCTTTCGCCGTTTCGCTTGATCGCTACCCCATTTTCCCTTTCGCGACGACCTCTCGCGTGCAGAGTCAGTTGCACCTTCGAAGCATGAGTTGTCAAGACCACAGACCCCAGCTTCGAAACATCCATAGGTCTGAGCGCTTGGCAGCTTCACATAGAGTTTTCTTCGAGCCAGATGCCAAACAGTGTGAGTATTCGCAAGAATGTAAGGGGGTCGTGAAGGAGTTGTAGGCATGATTCCTGGTACAGGACCTCCTGCAGTTGCATAGGTAAAGAACTTTACAAAGTCTTCCTGACCCCGAACTCTCCCTACCATCCTAACATTCCGCTCTTTCAGGAGGTTTGGCTATAGCTCAAAATGTAATGGTGCTGTTAAGAAGAGATTGCCAAAGGATGCGTGTGACTGATAGAAGGCCCAAACGATGGGGTTGGAACCAAGTAATCCCTAAACCCAAATCTTCCTTGAGGGTTTAGTTTAGGACTGGAGTTCAGCTGAAAGGCATGGGTTTCAGAGCATTGTTAGTATTTTTTATTCGGTAGCTCTGGGTACATTCAGGATCGAGGTCTTAGTTGGGACTGTTGAATGTGGTAGCTGACAGGTTTCAACTAGCAGCAGCCCAAAATTTGTCCAATAGCTAAGTAGCTACACTTCTACAAGTTCTTTGGGTCTACGCAGTGAAACTCTGTTTCATATTACACGTTAAAAAATCCTCCACACACAAAGCGCAAATTCACGGAATTTTCTAGGCCCAACGCAAACCGTTCATATGGAAGTCATAATCTAGAAATCGTATTTTCTACCGGCCACAAGACTTTCGAAACCAAACTCCTCTGATTCCAGCCTGAAGCTCGGAATTGCGAACTCCTGCGCTACATTGAAAACCCGAAATCCTAATCTCATTTTCGAAGGGCCGCTGTCACATCCTAAGAGTGTGACGATTTTTCAGCTCGGCGCATTGCCGACCACAGGAACAGCGTCGGGGACGGCTACATGCGGCTCAGGGTTGCGGAAATTAGAAGGAATTTATAGCTCATCCTGTTGCGGGGTTGGTTTTCACTGAATTTTGGATCCGTGGCATAGGGTTTAGAATGCAGGATCTGAGAACTGGCGGAATTGTGGCGGGATGTAATAACTAACTGGTGCCGGGAAGAGACTTATTTGCCCCGAAAAAGTGCCATAAGCGGGGGGGGCACCACCACCACAACAGGACGGCCGTCCTTGATAAAACATGAATGCATGCTTATGTTCGGGTTCGCATTGGCTTTGCAGCTAAGAGTTCCCTTGTTTTTTGGTGGCGATGATTTAGCAAAACTCCAAGATGAAGGACGTCAGAGACTCAAGGTTTGGGGTTGGAAGCAGTCCTTAGTGACGGGGCCAGGGTCCCTAAGCCACCAAGTAGTGAATTTTGACCAGTTAAAGTGAAGCTGGATATAGAGAAGTTTATGCGACGTTGGTGATATTCTTTACGGGTATCCCCTAAAGGAATGTCATGCTTTGTTGACTCGATTCGTTTTGAATGGCTTTTTTCCTCAATCCCCATGTAGCCATTTTAGAACTGCCTCACAAGGACCCTCAGAATGTCAGCGCTGCCCGAAATATCCAACGCACAACTCTTGAGACCTTTTTCGGGGCCGCGCCAGCCGGGCCTTCTGCTGTTCCCACCAGCCGCGCGCCAGGGGTTGCATGGGTGCAAGGGGTTGGAGCTGGACGAGGAGCAAAAATATGGGCTATAGGC